GGGGTGCGGGGGCAGCGCCTGGGCGGCCGCGCCGGGGCCTCCTTCTGCCCATCCGGGGCGCGGACCCTGCGGCGGCCGGCTCGTCACTTGATGAAGCCGGCAGACCCTAAGTCCGCGAGTGCCGACCGGGCTCCAGCGGGTGGGAGGGTTTAATAGCGGGTCGCGTGCGCACGTGTTCGGCCGCGGCCGCCGGAAGGGCCGATCACACGAGCAAGGGCCCACCCGGGCGCCCACATCACTGGCACCTCTCGCCTGGCCGGCGTTGCTTAGTCTCCAGCGCACCCGGGGGGGGGGAGCGGGGACGGGGACGGGGGCGGGGGCGGGGGCGGGGGCGGGGGCGCAACAAAATGCCTGGTGCGTGTCTTGGCGCCTTGTCGCCCCTTGAGCAGCTCCCCGGGAGGAGGCGACGGGGGAAAGTGGCCGGGCGGCCGGGTGGTCGGGGCCGGGGGCAGGCCTCCGGGTTTGTGTGCGCGCCCGCCATACATGTGTGTGTGTGTGTGTGTGTGTGTGCGTGAGTGTGCATCGTACACATCGGAGAAAGTGGTACCAGGGGCATCCACGGATGGGCGGTGTGCGATGGGCGATGTGACTCGCGCGGGCGGCGGCGCGCCGGTGTTTTTTCGCCCCCCCCCCGAGGAAACGCGGAGAGCACCGGCCCGGTGTGCCCCCCGCGCCGGGTGCCCGCCATGATCGGGATTTGCCCTGGGGGAGGGGGACTCCCTCCTCATCCTTGGCGCCGCCGCTGTCCGGAAGTGGAAATGTCGCCGCATTGCTCGGCCCCAGGTGCGCCCCTCGGGGCTGGTGCCTTCCTGGCCCGGGGGGGGGGGGGGGGGGGGTGGAGAGGGCGGCGGCTTTCCCCCGGGGGCTTGACATCACCTACGCACACCTGCCAATGCAGCACCCGCCGTCGTCGATCCCCTCCCGCCAGCCCCTGGGGCAGGGGCCCGCGTAGGCGCGTGCGCGCGTGTGTGTGTGTGTATATGCGTGTACCTGCTGTGAATGTGCACCTACCTGCACACGCATCTGAAGTCCTCGGACGTGAGCGGCAGACTGGAGGGGAGCGGCGACATCTCCAGCGAGCGCGCACGCCCCACCGTCAGGGCTTCTCTTGCTCCCCCTCCCCCGCCCGGTGGGTGGTTCACGCTCACAGCATTCCCTGAGAGGGTGCGCCGACCCCGGCAGCTACACCCCCCCCGCCCCCCCCCCCCGGGCGGGGGGCACGAGCACGACTGCCACATGCGCGCGCGCGCGCGCGCAAAGGGATGACCATCCTGCCGTCGGCCCCAAGGAGGCGTTTGGCAGAAATCGCCGCTCGGTATCGTTCCCCAGTCATGCCCTCCATCATACCGATCTTTCTCCCCACCCCCCTCATAACCAGCCCCACTCGCGCATTCTGTCCATCCACACGCCCACTCTCTCCGCCGTTCTTCGCCCCCTTCCTTGTCCTGCTCCCCCACGCCCCCACGCCCCCCCGTTCCTGGGTCCAGTCCCCCACGGATCTACACATCTTCTCTGCCCACTTGTGGCCGGGGGGCCGGGGTGCGAGAGCCTCATTCCCTTTGCTCTCCCCGCCGCCCCGGCCCAGTCCCACCATTTCCGCCAGACGCCCCTCCGTCCTGGCCCCTTTCTCGCTCTCAACGCGCCGCACGGCCCGGCTCCCCGCCCACATGTGCTTGCTTCCCCCCCCTTTTTCCTCCCTCTCCGCCCTCCTTTGGGTCCCTTGTTCCAGTGTGTCCCCCCCGCCCCTGGGCCGGCCCTTCGCCTGCGCCCCCTACTTCTCGGGGCCCCTTTCCCGCCTCCCCTAGCCGGTTGCCCGATCATTACCCCTCCCTCGCCTCTTCCCTCGCCTCTCTCCCACATGGCCATCTCTCCCCCTCCCCCCTCTCGCTTTCCCTTTTCCTAGCAATCGCGAGCCACCCCTTGCTGATGTGTGCAGCCGCTCGTCCCCAGTCCCCGGCACTCGATTCGTGAGTGGAGCTCCTGCCACGGCTGTTGCCCTCCCCCCCCCCCCCTCATTCTCTCTCCTTCCCCCTCCCCCTTTGCCTGGCTCGCTCGCCTGCCCGCTCTCCTCGCCCATCGGTGTGTTTGTGTGTGTGCACGCGCGCGTGTGCGTGTGTCTTTGTGTGCTCGCGCGTTTCTGCGCACGCGCCTCTCTACTTCTCTCTCTCTCTCTCTCTCTCTCTCTCCGTGTGTGTGTGTGTTCCCCCTCTTATCCGTGCCTTTTGGCCGACCTCGGCGCCAATGCATGTGCCCGTCCTTGCGAAGGACTCCCCGGCGATAGCACCACCCCCGCAAGCGCTGTGCCCTTCCAACACCACCTCCCTGCCAGTGGCCGATCCACAGAGACCCAGGCCGGGTCGGCATCGGCATCGGCGTCCTGCGACAGCCGTCCTAGTCTCTAGCATTGGGTTGCTGGTGCTGTCGCTTGTCGCATGTATGTGTTAATGCACTGCGCCCGGAAGCCCCCTGCCCCTCTCCCCCCATCTTCCTCTCCCCCCCATCCCCCTCTCCCACTCCATCCCCCTCTCCCACTCCATCCTCCCCATCCCCCTCTTTCAGCCCGTCTACTTTTCGATGAGTCTTGTGTCCTTCCCCAGCTCGTCCCTCCTTTTGTCAAGTTCCATGGCCCGCTGGTGGCCGCTCACTCTTGCGCAGGAAGTCACTAACCGCCGTCCCCTGCTCATCCTCCCGGCGGACGCACGTGCCTCTCTGTGCAGTGTCAGCGGCTGCTGCTCACTCAGGCCTTTCCTTCTTCTCCTCCACGGAGAGCTCCCCACTCGGCTGCCTGCACGACACCACCTGCGGCGGCATGCTCACTCACCTCGCGGCCTCTGGTTCCTGGATCCCGCGGTCAGGCCTCCATCGGCTCTCAGCCTCCCCTTCGGTGGTGTTTCTCACGCACCGCGATCGCCGGGCCACGCACACGGCTCCTCGGCTGCAATTCAGCCCCTTTTCTTCGGTGTCCGGGTCTGGCTCCGGTAGCTCGGCCGCTTCGTCCTCCTTTTCCGCCGGCTCCTCCTCGTCCTCCTCGGCTGCCATGTCTGCTGCCTCGGACTCCGGGTCCTGCCCTTCGGGCATCCTCCAGCCGCTGACCGATGAGCGCCTGTACCGGTACCTGACCTTGCCGTCGAACTCCCTTCGTGCGGTCCTCGTCAGTGACCCGTCGGCCGATCGCGCGGCCGTGGCCATGGACGTGCATGTCGGGAGTCTGGCCGACCCGGTGACCATCCCCGGGCTGGCGCACTTCCTGGAGCACATGCTTTTCCTCGGCACCGAGAAGGTATGTCTTCGAGTGGGCCCTTTTGCGTGTGTGTGCCTGTTCGCGTGTGGTCGCACCTGCCCCCAGGGTGGTCCTGGGCCGGGAGGGGGGGGGGTGGGCCGATCGAGGCCGCACTATGCTGGCTGAGGCACCCCGCGCAGGCGGACACACACACACACACACACACACACACACACACACACACACACACACAAACCCATGCATATGCACATGGACATGGGCATCTCGTTGGATGTGCCGCTGACACGCTGTCACCATCGCACGCCCCCGGGCCACAGTTCCCCGACGAGAGCGCCTACTCCGACTACCTGGCCAAGCATGGCGGCTCCTCCAATGCCTATACCGCCCTTGAGCATACCAACTACCACCTGGACGTTGCGCCCACCCACCTGGAGGGGGCCATCGATCGCTTTGCCCAGTTCTTCACGTCGCCGCTGTTCAGCGCCTCCGGCACCGAGCGCGAGCTGCTGGCCGTCGAGTCTGGTACGCTCTCGCCATGCGCCCCTCCCCGGCCCTGCTACCCGGCACCCTGGTGTTCCCCCCCCCCCCCCCCCCTTGCAGCTGGCTCTGCTCACCCGCTGACCCTTCCCTCTGATGCCCTCTTTCCTTTGCCGCCCTGGCCGCTCTTCGTGACCCACACGCATGCACACGCTCGCAGAGAACCAGAAGAACCTCCAGTCCGATGCCTGGAGGCAGTTCCAGCTCGAGCGGTCCCTGGCCAGCCCGGACCATCCCTACTTCAAGTTCAGCACCGGCAACCGGGCCACTCTGAGCGTGGTCCCGCAGTCGCAGCAAATCGACACCCGGGCCGAGCTGCTGTCCTTCTACGCCAAGCACTACAGCTCGGACCTGATGTCCCTCTGCATCGTCGGCTCCAGTGCGTGTCGGTGTGCAGGCCATCCTCCTCCCCTGAAGGAGCCCGCCTTTCCTTCCCCCGCCTCTGCTTCTTGTCTCGGCCCGGCTGCCTTCCTCCCCCCCCCCCCCTCCCTCACTCCTCCCATTTTGACTTTCTTTGCCTCTCGCTCTTTCTGATGGCCTTCATGCCTCCGCCCCCTCTCGCCTCGTGTCACTTGCCTCCCATCGGACCAGACTCTCTGGATGAGCTTGAGGATTGGACTCGCAAGTACTTCAGTGGCGTGCCCAAGCGCGAGTCCTCCTCGCGGCCGATCTATGACCCGGAGCCGTACCCCGCCTCTCACCTGATGGTACTTCCTTCCTCCTGCCCCCTCCCTCGGGGCTCTCCTGCTGCACGCCTCGCCCGAGTCTCGTCTCCCGCCCTGCCATCCTTGTTCACTGACCCCCCCC